ACTTGAGTTTTGAGGTTTCGACGGAACAGCGTTTCATTTTGAATTTCATTTCAATTCGAAAAAGCTGTTGTGCTTTGCTTCGTCGAAACGGTGAGGCTGTTTCGACGTTTCGCCCATTAGCTATAATGGGGAAGCTCGAAACAGCCTCTCTCATCTGGCAGGCAGATGGGGGCTGCGGGATCTGCCTGCCAGATGAGGGAGGGAAGCCAGTGCTGCTGCCTGGGACTGGGGAAGGGAACTGCTCAGTTCCCCTCCCCAGCCCGACTATAGCTGGGCTGACTTCCCATCCCCAGCCCGATGTACGTGGAATTAAAAAAACACACAAAACAAAAAACCCAAGGGCTGGAACTTCAGCTGCTCAACACACAGCTAAGAGATCTAGTAGAGAGCTCTCCTCCCAGTGAATAACGGATGGTCTTGACTTCTTCTGCAATGTGGCCCCAGATGAAGCTGCTGAGCCTTCCAAAAAATTCTGACCTTGAGTGGATATAAAATGGCTCTAATGGAACTAAGACGATTTCCACTGTCTCATCCTTAGCGTGCCATACATTTTAATGCTGTGAGAGTACCATTGTCAGCACACTCCTTACATAGATATACCCTTTTTCACTGATGACACAACCATTCACACCAAAACCAGCAATGCCACTGGACTGTGCGGTCCTGCAGCTGCAAGTCATGACCACAGACTTCACTGCTGGACATCTGCCAGAACATATGCCCAAGAGCTGTTCAGACAATCCACCCAGGGGCTACACAGCTGGGTTACCACAGGACGCAGCGAGTTTGGCAATGGGACAGGAACGTGATTGACAGGGACAATACACACAAGAGAGAGAGCCAACCCTGTGTGATCTGGAGTCCTGCAGGCTTTCAGCTGGTGCTCCCCATTCCACATGTTTCTGACTGTCTTGAGAATTCCTGGTGAAAAACGACAATGCCAGATTTAAGGGATATTTTTCAATAATATTCAGAGGAATTTGATTGAACAAGCAAAGGATTCTTTTCTTTAAAAAAGTGACAATTCAAGCAGAGCCTGGTATGATTGCGGTCTCTTGCCGTGATTAAATAGTGGTGTCAGAACCCCTTGCTGTCACGAGACATGAGGCAAAAATCACAGAAAATCAGCATTAGCGTGATGCAGCACTGTAACGGTGTGGGTGAAAGGTATGAAATGGAACAGATGGGTTGGCAGCATGGCAGATAGGACCCAGCAGCAACAAATATCCAGGGACGTGATTGCACTAGTTCAGAATTGTGGTTTCTATTGCAGTAGCAGCAAGAGCACCGTAACACTCAGGACCCTACATGCACAGAATAAAAAGAAAGGTCTTGCCCCAATGAGCTTTCAATCTGAATAGACAAAAACAAGAAATAGAAGAGAAAGAATTACCCCATTTTACAGATTGTCAAGTGTTGTCTATAAATATTAAAGTGACTTGGTCAAGGATTACACAACAAGGTATGGCAGAACTGAGCATTCAACTTCTCTTAAATCCTAGTTCTGGGCCTGGACCATAAGGCTATTGTTCCATTATGGTTTTGGGAATCGAGAGTAAAACAAGGAAAAATAAAAATCAAGAATCTGACTGACTTGCAGAAAAATGTCACGGTCAACCAAGAAAAAGGCATTCTCCTCTTGCTTATTAAAAAGGGCCCCACCTATCTTTATTTCCTAATAGTGGGCAACTTGAATAATTTACTAGTTATGAATCACTAGCCCACAGGCAGAAGCCAACCAATCTGACAGTCACAAAATAATCCACAACAAAAAGGGAATGCATCTCTATTTAATACCATAGATAGGTACAGAGATTTCTTGCTCAGGGGAGTAATACTCTTCGCATTTTTGGAGTGTATTTCTGCCCTAAAAAGCAACTCCAAAAATAGTATTATGGACTCCCCTTTCAACATTTCCATATAAAAACATGATTAGCTTGTATGCAAACACAAAGAGACCAGCCTGCAAACTCAGCCTGTACTCTGGAGCAAAGGTGAGCTGTTTCCATCATCCCTCATAATTAAGAGTTCTGTAGGCTACAGTGACACCTGTATAACTGGTGACACTGAAGATGCAAAGCACCACTAAAAAAAAAAATCAAGTATGCTGCGCATCAGCCAAGAGTATGCAAAAAAGTTCTCTCCACAATCTTATTCTTGTCCAGACCCATGGCCAAAGCATCCCCTGTTCCTCTCCCAAAGAATCTCTTCTCAGCAGGGCAAATGAGAACAGTCCTCAACCATGAAATGGGAGAGCTACTGCAAAAATAAGCAGGCTAGATACACATGCGTGCAGTGGAATCCTTGCTCATGTGATCAAACTATCTACTGGGGGTGAAGTAAGAACAGAGTTAAACTGCTGTGCCAGATCATCCATGAGTCACCCATGATCAAAAAAAAGCAACGTCCAGGCCTCTTGGGGCTCATTATCCAAACACTTTTCTCTTCTGAAAAGAATAAGTTGAACCTCCTCCCATCACAGGAACTGACAGGGAGCCTGAATGGGTCTGGAGTCTTCCTGGATCTCTCCTTTTTGCCTGTACAGATGGGGGTGGGTACACACTCTAAAAGGCAATATCCAATCTTCTGCCGAACTTCTAATCACGTCAACATCAGAGCCCAGATCTTGCTTTCGAACACAGTCCTGGAGAATGAGTGAGCTAATTAAGGGACATGCACCACAGTGCACTCAGGATGATATCAGGAAAGCAGCAGGACTGAGTTTGGAAGGTGACTTGGCTGACACACTCAAAGGCTACAACATTTGATAAGGGGAAAAGCAAAAAAAGGTTTAACTTAGCACATTCAGGTCACTCACTGAAATGCTTCACTGCAAAAAGTAGGCAACAGTAGATTATTCACCATCGCTCCTAGAGGTCTCTAAATGTCTGCAGTACTTTACAGGACAGGGACCAAACCTGCCGGCGCTGACACCAGTGGGAACCCTTCTACTGGTGCCTGTAGCACAGAACTGGACACCTCTGATAAACACATTTCCCGTTTCCAACGTGAGAGAAAGTCTGAAAATGGTTAAGCACTTGCAACAGTCACTGAAGTTAAGCAACATTTCATATACTCGGCACCTCTTGGGGGTTTTGATCCTAAAACAGAAATGGCAAGCATAAGAGAAAACACCCTTCTGGGGACAAAGGCTCAGGAGAAGAACATGGGAAGGATGCTTGGAAGAAACAGATTTTTGAAGAATCCACTTTCCAGTAACATTACCAAGAAGGTTTATTACGGAGTTGGTGCAGGTCCTTAAGGAAGGCAGTGGGCAGTTGGAAAACAACATGGGTAAGTTGTTCCAGTGGACTGTAAGTCAGTACTGGACAACAATATTTTTGCATCAACCCTTGTGTCTGGTCTTAGAGATTAGGTAAAAAGATAAGGAAAGAGTCCCTTGTAACAGGCCACCCTGGGGAAAAGCAAGCATGAGCAGTATCAGCAGAAGTGATCAATGAGATGGCCCTGAAAGCACAAAGCAAGCACCGTGTAGCAGATAAGGAATGGGAGCATCTGTTATTTGGACAGCACTCACCTTCTAGATGGTTGCGGGAAAGATATTTGAGTCCTTCATCAAGCAGGATAACAGGCAAGGAAATTTTCAGTACAACCACCCACTGTGGCCAGCTCAGGGGGGTTACCTGGAAGATTAGCTGCAAGGTAAGAGAAGGTCATAAATTAAAACACAAGAGAGAGACAGAGCTCAGAACATAAGACTCATTTTCTGGTTATATACAGCCAATCACCGGGACAAGGAATATCTTGAGCACACAGCCAAGACCATTCTGGATTGTGTAGAAGATGAGGCCTCCATCCTGGTCACAATGAGAACACTATGGAACTCTGCAAAGGACAGGTGATACAATTATGCCCACTTTCCATATGGGGAAAAATGAGGCAAAAAACAGGGGTGGCGACCTGCCCATAGCAATCCCATGACAATGCCAGGGAGAGAACCCCATTCTCCTGATCACCTCACTTTCAGTCCCATATCCTAGCAAAACAACCCCCAAAAGTTCTGTCTTTGGGGAAGTCTCCCTGAAACGCACAAAACCAAAAGATGGCCCCTGGAATGGTGCTATCAAAAGCACAACCCCATGACCCCATGCACTGGGCCAGTGGTATCACTTACAGGCATAGGCTTCACATAAAGAATCAAGAAGTGCAGTGCCATGGACATGATTATAGCCCCGAGAAGCCAGAGGTTCAGCCATGGCGGCATCCTCAGCAACGACTGGTTTTCAGACACACTATGAAAGCAAAGAGGAAGGTGTTGGCTCAAAGAAACTGTGAAATACCCTTAATCCTTACAAGGGTACCTTGGTTCAATCAATATACCCTTCAGCTCTTCTAGTCAGTAGAAATAAAAGACTTTCAAGTGAAATATATAAATACTTCAGTGGATTCACTGTGGCATGGCTGATATCACACTTTTTTCAGTGAATTCCCAATCTTATTGGACAGTTGCAAGTACAAAATCAAAATGCGCCTTACAGGGATAATCCAAGGACCTCCAATACAAAGCTCTGATCCCATCTCGTTTAGCCCCTAAGCTACCAGGGGACCTATATGCTGATTGAAATTTCAGTATCCTCTGATCTAAGCCAGGACCTTAGGCCTGAATTAGCTTTGAACTTGAACACCCAGCTCAAATGGGCCCAGATACTGCCAAATTGCTAAACTGGATCTTAGAGAACTAAATGCATTCACACCGCTATTTCTGCAGAGAACAACACAGTTGGCGTGGATGGCTTTGCATCAAGATCTGACATTCCTGAACATACCACACCTGTTCAGAGCATTGCACATCTCAATTGTCACTAGCACCGACAGTGCCATAGTGGTTGGGTAATGAGACTCAAAGATTTCACAGTCAAATCCTTCGAAGATGGGGTTGTCTTCTGTGCACCTCATGAAGTTTCTCTGTTGGCATAAGAAACACCAAGTAAATGGTTACCTTGTAGAGAAAATTCACTCCCCCGGTAGCTGCAGGAAAGTCATGAAACGGGCAAAAATATCAGGTCCCCGAGGGAACGACTCAACTATCAGGGGATCCATTAACCATTCCTTGGATCAGGGGGACCAATTAGCACCTGGAGCAAATCATCTTCTGCTCTGACTCCAGCCTATGACAGTACAGATCACGTAATAGCAGCTAGGTTGTCTACGGGAAATTAATGAGTGGTTTCAATTCAGTTCCAAGTGGACACGCGTCTCTATTAAAAAAATATATATATTTACCGCAGCAAATAGTGTTAACCACAGACTTGTTGAAAGCCACAGCATGGGCAGCAAGGGCAAGATAAACACAAACTCAGCTTACAGAAGAGAATTAAGGGAGTCTGCAGAAAACTAAATTCCAACTCATCTACAGAAATCTTTGCTAGTCTTATGGATCCAAAGCCAAGAGACGAGGGCTCTATTTCTGACCCGCTGAGCAAGCTAATCTCCTCTCTGTCCTGCTCCTTCCCTTCCTGCCTTTGGTAGGTCTTGCTTGTTTTAAGAGTACCTGCTTTGAGGCCAGGACTGTCTCCTCCCATGATTTAGTACAGCACCTGGCACAGCAGGGCCTTGGTCTTGGTTAGAATTTTAAATGCTGATGCAACGAATATGATAGTCATCAGTCTCCACAGTAGTTACTCTGGCACTAGATGCACTAAATACATAAGAATGGCCATTTACTGGGTCAGACCATAGGTCCATCTTACCGATGTAAGATGGGAGTCACAGTGGCAGAAAGCAGAAGCTGAAAGGGACAGTGAACTGGGCATGGCCAGGGTTTCTTTCCAGGGATCCTCCCTTACTTGCAGCATCCAACATTTAAGGTCTAGGAAGTTTTAATTCAGAGGCTGTATCCCTAACTCTTGAGCTCAATGGCTACAGACACCTCTTTCCTCCAAGAATTGTTGAATCTGGCTAAATGTCAGGTTCCACATCTGGTGGCAATGAGTTCCACACTTTAATTGCATGCTGTGCAAACAGGAACTTCCCTTTTGTCAGTGTTAAACTTACTACCTACTAATTTCATTGTGTGACCCCTAGTTTTTGTATTGTAAGAGAGAGTGAATAGTAAAGCCCTATTTACTTCCTCTGCACCGTTTAGTATCTTGTAAACCTGTATCACGTTCACCCCGCCCCTAAAGTCTCCCTTTTCTAACCTGAATAGGCCTAGCCTCTTTAGTCTCTCCTCATATGGAAGCCCCTCCATAACACTAATCATCCTTTGCCCGTCTCTGTGCCTTCTGCAATTATTATACTGACAATTCTCAAATCTCTTTCCTCTGTGATAACAGCTAATGCAGAGCCCGTCACAGTACAGGAATAGTTCGGGTTATTTTTGCCCAGGTGCATCACTTTACACTTATCTACATTCAAGTTCACCTGTTGTTTAGTTGCCCATTCGCTCAGTTGTGCCAGACCTTCCGCAGTTCCTCAGTCTGCCTTGGTCTTTACCACTTTGAATAATTTTGTCATCTACTCCCCGTCTTTTCCAGATCATTTATGAACATGTGAAATAGCACTGGCCCCAAAACAGATCCCTGGAGGACCCTACTGTTTACTTCTTTCCGTCCTGAAAACTGACCATTTATACTCACTCTTCGTTTTCTATTTTAAGCCAATTTCTAATCCATAAGTGTACGTTCCTTGCAATCCTGTGACTACCCAACTTAGTTAAGAGCCTCTGATGGGGGACTGTATCAAAGATTTTTTGGAAGTCCAAATATACCTTGTCAGTTGGATCACTCGGATCCACCTGCTTATCGACACCCTCAAACAACTCTAGTAGGCATGATTTCCTTTGGACTCCTCCCCAGCAAGTCACGTTCATGTGCTGAACAAATGATTATTGTTACTATTATTTCTACTAATTTTCCAGGAACTGAAGTTGGGCTCACTGGCCTATAGCTCCCCGTGTCCCCTCTAGAGCCTTTTTTTTTTAAATATTGTAGTCACATTGGCAACCCTCCAGTCCTCTGCTACCGTGGCTGTTTTTAGTGATAGGTTGCATGCTGCAGTTAAGAGCTCATCAGCTTCCAATCTGAGCTCCTTCAGGACCTTAAGTGAATGCCATTGGGTCCTAGTGATTTGCTGGTGTTTAGTTTATCCGATTTCCTCTATGACCCCCATCTGCTGTAACCTCAGTTTGTGTCAGCTCCACTGACTTGTCCCTAGAGAGGAGTGGATCTGGTGAGGGAATCTCTTTAACATCTTCCACATACAGGGTAATAACCGATTTACTTAAAGGGGCTTAAAATATCTTCTCTGCAAGGAAAGTTTTACCTCTCTCCACCTAACAAGAGTGACAGGGATTACATGAGCTAACTTCAATTCTTGCTGCCTTCACTAGAATCTATCTTAGGGCTACCCCAGCGATGTGGACGGAGAGCACATCAGTGGGCTTCCCACCTGGAGAACACACAAGTAATTAGAGATACCTCTTAGATTAAAGAGAGATTTCTCCTGGGATCCTACAGACTGCCAACAGTACTGTCCCATGTTAGTCCCTGTGAAGTACCTGAATTAAACGCCTTGCTGGGGAAACTATAGTGGGTAATCTGAGTTAATTGCCATTTGAACAGTGTGTGTGTAAATGACTGTCCTCTCCCTGTTTTGACTGGGTCAAAGCCCGGGACAATCAGCCCTAGATTAAATGACCTCTGTTTTTAGCCTTACATGTTTGGGTACAGCCCTCAGTGCTGATCAGCCAATACAAGGGAAGCGGGGAATGTCTCTCGGAAGGAGACATTTATTTTAATACACCGTTCACCAGTGTTTTGAGAATGTTTCAAAATTAATATTCCCAACACCAGCAATTGTACAACTTTGAATACTCCCTATGCCAGGTATTGTATGCTGCATGCTAAAACCACTGTCTAAAAAATGTCTTGCCACCTTACAACTCTACCAATGTAGTTATCATGTGCACAGTCTTACCACTCTTCCTATCATAGCATTGGAGCTTTTTATCCCTTTTACCTTGGGCTACTGTTTGCTGCATGACTAAACTGTGTGTTTTAGATTGCATCAACATGTACCAACTATGTATCCACGTAGCTGCAATGCACAAGGTCCTATATTCTCTTTCAGTTCTCCAAAGCCAAAAACAACTACAATTTTTAGCATTTTCTAATAAAGCTTTAAACCTGAAGGAAAAAAAAAAAGACGGGAAGGTTGGACCTTCAAAGGTCTTTTCTCCTTTGAAGGCTGTGGGCTCAGTGAGATCTAAACAGAAGTGCGTTTAGAACAATTAAAAAAAAACAAACCCTTCCCCTTCTTCACCCTCCTCACCCATGACATACCAGCTGGTAGAAGGTAACTTGTGGCCCTTCAGCATCATACAGAAACCACCAGGTAGCTGCCCCCACTGTTGCCAGGCCAACATATACTGCAACCAAAGAGAAAGCCAGTTGTGAAGCTATAAAGCACTGGATTTATCATATGCTTCCCCATTCACTGTGCTGTTCACTAGCACAATGCAGAGGGTTCTGCTCTTTTTCCAAGGAGAGCAAGCACCAGTGGTTTTATCCCAAAGTAATGTCTCTCAGATTCATACATGTTAGGGTTGGCAGGGACCTCAACAGATCGAGCCCGACTCCCTGCCTGGGCACGAAAGTGTTGGGGTCAGATCACCCCAGCCAGATGCCTATCCAGCCTTCTCTTAAAGACCCCCAAGGTAAGGGAGAGCACCATCTCCCTTGGCAGTCCACTCCAAATTTTGGCCACCCTTAACGTGAAGAAGCTTTTCCTGATATCTAGCCTAAATCTGCTATCTGTCAGTTTGTGACCACTGTTCCTTGTTACCCCAAGAGGCGCCCTGGTGAGCAAAGCATCTCTGATCCCTTGCCATGCCCCCCCAGTGAATTTGTAGGCGGCCACAAGATCACCTCTCAGCCTTCTCTTGCAGAGGCTGAAGAGGTCCAGGGCCTTCAGTCTCTCCTTGGAGAGACTTGCAAACCCTTAACCATATGAGGGGGCCACCTCCTCCGGACCTTCGAGGTTATCTACATCCTTTGAAAAGTACGGCGGCCAAAACTGGACGCAGCACTCCAACTGTGGTCTGACCAATGCCAGAGGGGAAGTATCGCCTCCTTGGTTTTATCTGTCATGCATCTGCTGATGCATGATAAAGTGCGGTTAGCTTTGCTAATAATTTAGTCACACTGATCATTCATCAGAGAATGAAACTTCTGCTGTCAAAGCAGCAGTATCTTAGGCTACAAGAAGTAAAGTTCAGTGTAAATTATATACCACAGTTTTGGCTCGATGTCCAGAAAGAGCAGACTGGGATTAATATACCCTTTTCCTGCACTGGGTCTTGGCAGGGAATGACCCTTTGGGGAGCTGCCTCTGTTGTCTGAAAGCTCCAGTCTTAAGTAAGGAATAGATTTGCTTTGGGTATTACACCTCTCTGAACTGGCAACAGGACTATCTTCCACTGCCTGTTCCAGTGATTTCAGTGAAGACCACACTCCTGATATAAGCAGGTTTGCAGTGACTTTACGCAAGCTGAAGCCATTCACAGCACTATCTGCAGCCACGGCCTCTCACCTCCGATGGCAAGGTAGCGGAAGAAAAGCCAGCCACTGATGAGAGGCTCCCTGGGGTTGCGGGGAAGTTTATCCATGATGTCTAGGTCAGGGGGGTTGAATCCCAGAGCAGTGGCAGGGAGCCCATCAGTCACCAGGTTCACCCACAACAGCTGGACTGGGATCAGAGCTTCAGGCAATCCCAGGATAGCAGTCAGGAAGATGCTTCAATTGAAAGACACATAGACATGGCTGGTTATCTGCATCCTATGGAGACATGGGAATGCACCTGGTACAACTACAGATGAATGCAAACCAAATCCCAGGGTGTAAATGCCCCTAAGAATTGGCACAGTTTCAAATCCAAATCCAGGTTTGGATTTTGCAGGATCCAAGAGATTTGGTTTTACCCTCGGAAAGACTAAAACCCACGCTTGAACTTTGCAGTTTAAGCCCACTTTGGTGGTGGGGACTCAACTTCATATACAGCTCCTTGCATGGTAAATCAGCTGCGGTGTTTTTTTCTAGTCAGCAGCTGAAATGATCCTGCTGAATTCTCTAGCATGAGGGATTCCCAAAATGAATATCAGAGGAAGCGGGTCAAGACTGCTGCAAAACATAACAATTTGTTGAAAAGGCCCTTTGTCAGGAAACTATTTGCAGTGGGTGCACCTGCAAGTGTTATAATGGAGTCTTGCTGCATCAGACATAGCATCACTGGAGCTGCGTAATGATGTGCTCAGAGCAAAATAAAGGCAACCTGTCATTTAAAGACCAGCATGCTGACCATACCGTGGTACTGAATTTAACCATAAACATGTCATAAGTCTCCCTGTAGTGTAGTCAAATAGAAATTACTGTAACTTATGAGCTCAGATACCGTGGTGAAGCAAATGCTGGCTGGCAGCCAGGGTTGGGGGGGTGTGTAAAACCATGAATGAAAATATCAATGCAAGCTAATTGAAACAGAAGTCACATACTCTACTAGTGCGGCTCCACTAGCCTCCCAAGACGCTACGCAGATTTATACCAATAGCAGGTTCAACCTGAGGGGATTTCTGAATATTAGAAAAGACACTTCTGCTCTTTTACCCATCCTTTTTCATTCTATTGTCCTAGAGAGAAGTGGGAAGGAAGGACAAGCCTTACCAAACAACCTCGCCAACATTTGATGAGATAAGGTAGCGGATGAATTGCTTCATGTTGTTGTAGATGGCTCTGCCTTCCTCAACAGCAGACACAATGGTGGAAAAGTTATCATCAGATAGCACCATCTCTGCCGCTGACTTGGCCACAGCTGTACCAGAACCCATAGCAATTCCAATCTCAGCCTTCTTCAGGGCAGGGGCATCATTGACTCCATCTCCAGTCTAGACAAAGTGAGAGTGCTTTATTAAAGGACAGGCATTTTATAGAAGACAGCCCAAGCACGAGATCAAGATTTAGACAAAAGGAAGAGCGTCCATTTTGCATTGGAATTGCATCTGGATGACGGTCTTTCACATAAGTATTTGACAGCAGGACTTGCACCTAACGATTACTTTTTTGAGCACCACGGTATAGTAATCATATAGCTGGCCTGTCTTCAGCGGCTTTTCAAACAAAACAAACATTTCTCAAAGTGCTTTATCCACAGTCAGTTTCATGGCAGCTCTATGATGAAGGGAACTATTATTACCTAGCTTGTTTGTGTGGGAAAATACCTTTTACTCAAGATTACGCCTGACTTGGAAGAGCTGAGATCAGAATTCCAAATCCCTGCTCTTAACTAGTGGACCTTGCTCCAAACCTCTAGCTCAGACTATGATCTAGACCACTTCACCTTGCAGTCTCTGCTGTAGTCAAGAGGGATGACATTCTGTTCCTAAATGACACCTATAAATGACCACATGAGACACTCCATGTACGACTCACCATAGCTGTAATCTCATCAAAAGACTGCAGGTATTCAATTATCTTGGACTTATGAGCAGGTTCAACTCGAGCAAAGCAGCGAGCTGAATAGCAGGCCTCACGCTGAGCCTTTGGGGAGAGATCGTCAAACTCTCTTCCAGTGTAGGCCTTATCAGTCACATCCTCGGTCTCTGAGAAGATCCCGATTCTCCGGCAGATGGCCACAGCTGTCCCCTTGTTGTCCCCTGTGATCATGATGACTCGGATGCCAGCTTTTCTGCACATCTCAATGGATGAAGACACCTCCTTGCGGGGAGGGTCCAGCATCCCCACACAGCCCACAAAGGTTAGGTTAGTCTGAGGACAAGAGAAGCAGACACGCATGAACTTTCACATGCTCCCTCCTCTCTGTGGGAATGAACCCTTATTTGCTCTTCCTGCCTTTAATTCACCCCCTAGAAGGTTAAGTCTAGGAGGCTGGTAAGGTTTGCTAACAGTCTAATCCCGTTACAAGCAAAATCAATGGGAAAACTCCTACTGACTCCAACAGAAGCACACACAGACCCTAAAATGTATTGTGTTTAATTTAAAATAGCTCAGTTGTACTCCAGATTTGTTACCCATTGTGCAAACCTTGACTGCATAGCTCAGCTAGTTTCTACCAACTCCAGGTTTAATGCACTCTGTTCAGGTCCCTATGCTGTGCTCTTCACCATGCTACTTGATCACCTCCTAGGGGCACAAAGGGCCCATGTGCTTATTGAAACTTTAGCACACGCCTAGGTGCTTTGCTGAACACAAGTCTAAGCATTGCAACTGATATCCATCATGCTGTCATTGCTGGCAGTCTGGAATCAAATTTCCACTGGGGCATTTGGAAATTAGGGTTAAGACTCAGCAAGGGAAAAAAAAAAAAAAAAAATGTAGTTGCAGTCAGCATGGTCTGTTCTTAGGAGGGACATGGATGTAAATGAGAAAGCACAGTGAATCTCATACGGTATGAAGAAAATGATTCCCAAGCTTGGCGTTAAGCCTTTTATATGGGGCTGGACACCCTCCTTCCTCTGCTTCCTAAGCAACTGCTCTGAGAGGACACCGGAAAGAGGAAACCCAGCAGGTGCCTAGTACGTGTTTCCCAGGCCCTACCTCACGTGGTCACATTTAATCCTCCCTTACCTCATAATTGATGAATTTGGTGGAGTCATCCAACTGCACATCCTCCTTCTTAATAGGACTGTCCCGGGTGGCCAAAGCCAGGCAGCGCAGGGTGTCAATGCCAGTTCCCCATTCCCGGATTCTGGATAATATCTTCTCTTTGGTAGAAGGTGCGAGAGGAACCCGGTTGGTGCCAATGCGGACATAGCTGCAGCGTTCGATCACACTTTCAGGGGCTCCCTGTGAAGAAGAAGGGTGTTTGTCTACACAGAGGAACTCATTCAGAGGACAAAACAGAACAGGCAGACCTGTGTGCTTCTGTTCCGGAAAAACACCAGTCTAAATTAGCTTAATCCACCAAACTAGGACTTGTCCAACTAGTGGCCTGCAAGCTGTACGCGGCCCGTTGGCTCTTGCCTGGCAGCCCATCAGCTCTTGTCCACCTGGAATGAATCCTCCACTCCCCCTGCCCTGGCAGCTGGGAGGAGACTGGAGTGCCCAAGCTGAGTGTGGGGCAAAGGAGGGCTGGCTGCAACAGGTGGTGTGCATGGCCCAAGGGGAAAGGGCAAGGGGACTGCCTGCATGGTTCATGTGGCTGAGGTGGGGCAGGGCAGTGCTGAGCTGTCACTGCTGTGGATGCAGTGGGAAGAAGGGAGGCAGGTGTTGCACGTGCAGTGGAGGAGGAGGGACAGCCCATGTGGTGCATGCAGCCAGGAGGCAGCAGTCTGGCTGCCTAAGTGGTAGGGGAAGAGCCATAAGGGGCCCACCTGCCCACACCGCGCATGGCCTCCACAGCATGGAGCGCCCAACTAGCCAAAAGTTGGACAGCTCTGCACTAAAGTTTAATCAGGAATGAATCCCCACATGGATGTCTTCATTACAGAGAGCCTTTCATGACAAGTCTTAAGCAAAGCACTACTGAGTGAAAATTCTCCTAGCAATCAGCTGTAGCAAATTTTCAATCAGCTGAGCTATTAATGGCACACCGTTCTCACTGCAGACAGTGTGCGCTGGACCACTGAATGTTTTGGGAAAGAGGAAAACATTTACTGTATGTGGTAAACCCCCAAGCATAGCTCTCCTAAAGCTATTCCTACCGTGCTGGCACTTGCAATTCAGTTTTCTTAACAGCTGTTTCCTCTAGGTGGCATTACCCCACTAGTTTTTAAAGAAAAGTTGGCCACTACATGCTTCCAGTTCAGCACCTGAGGAATGTGCACAGAGAACGGGTGGCTGGTAAGATGAACTCCGTTTAGGTTACTGGACTGAGGAATCCAGTTTCAAGGGGCAGGGAGGGAAATCAGCCCCATTTAACACTTGCATATCTTCACAAACACTTGACCCCTACCATAGTACTAAGTTGAGAAGCGGATGGAAATATGGACCCTGGCACTTGGGTGCTCACAAGCGTCTCAATGACCAAGGAGGATGCTCTCCACTGGATTCTTAAGAGACTTGTGCTATTAAGTCAGTTATGGACCTGTGACCATTCCCCCTTGTTTCAGTGAGCACTGTAAGGTAGACCTTCATAGTTCCTCTTAAGCTACAGTAAAGTGTACTGTAAAAATGACACTGCTTTCCACCCAATGAGTACGCTTTCATACATCAGGCCCTGTGGGTTAAAGCCAAACCTAGGGCCACAACCAAGATGCTTATGATCCTGATGGACCAGGAAGACAGAGTGTACCCAAAAGAACCCCAAGTAGGAAGAACAAGAGGAAATCTTCCACAAGTCCAAAGTAAGAATATTCCTAGATCATCGCTTGACTTCCATGGATGCATTAAAGAAAAAAAGCCTACATTCCATTTCTAAAATGTACTGAAATGTTGAACGATCTTTTGAATGGCAACTAGGCCCACATGGCCCAACCAGTAAACGCAACGGGGCAACTTATCTGCTGCTGCCACTGCATTGGCTGCAGAGGTGTTATAAGAACAGAGAGTTTGACTTCACTTCTCGTTTCTCAAAGGTTCACCTCTTTTCCCCATTGATGTGTCACAGATAAAGAATTCAAACTTCCCACTGACAACTTCTCTTTTGAGCTCTCTGCACTGCTTAGGCTGTTTTGGAAATCACCTGCTGTTGCTGAGTCCCAAACTCAGGACTCTGAAGCAAGCAAAGGAGAAAGCGATTTGAAAATACTTAAAAAAAAATATATATATATATATATATATATTATTTTTTTTCCATGGGATCTAGCAGCCTCCATAGAAATCATACCCCCCCTTGTACTTTCTATATTTATAGTGCTTTCTATATTTATAGTGAGATACAGTTCCTGTCTTTACTTGCAAGTGTCTGTGTATAAATTATAGAGGCAAATTATAGAGGCAGAGACCAACTGACTCGTCCAAGCTCATCCTACTACTTGTCCAAGCTCATACTACAGGTCTGCGGCAGAGCGGGAGGGCACAGAACCCAAACCCTCCCTCTCAATGGGCCAGGTTGCCTCTTCCGTTCCGATACCAGTTTGTAGAGACCTATGGTCCCCCAGCAACCGTGTCACAGAAATCCTGACGTTTTCATAAGCTATGACGTCAGTCTTACTCCTGATCCACAGAGGATGCACCTACGACTCACTTCGCACTCAAAGACTCTTTAATGATTAAGTCAATCATGAATCACCTCTCTCCCTCCTGCTTTCCCTGGTGACTTGAAAAACTCAAGGACCAGACCCGCCAGGAAAACTACCTACAAAACTGTGCTGCCATAGCAATGGCTCACCAACACCTGCTGAGGGAACAGACAAGGGGCAGAAGAAAAGGAAGGAAGGAAAGCCCAGCTGTTAGTGTTGGCTTGGGAGACAAGACCTCCATTTCCTGCTTGGCCATTTGTCAGGCTAAACCTGTTAGAGTGTGAAGACTTTAAAGGGAATAACAGGGTAGTACACTGACTGGGAAAGATGGCAGATTAACAGAGAGAAGGGGAGAGCCAGCAAGGTGTTGCAGCTGGAGGCAGCAAAGCCTGATAGAGATTCTCTATATTAGCTGCCAACTACTTTCAAATCAAGAGAGATCCATGAAGGGAAGTAGAAAGCAGCTTGAGAACAAAGCTGTGTGATATAGGCATTCAGTTGCTCCCAGCACGGAGACTTTGCCTAGATTCGTCAAGTAGCGAACAGGGGAAAAGGCAATGAATATGGAAGGCAACTGAAGTGGTATGTACAGGAGTGGAGGTGATGTGCACTGAAAGTTCATGGACAGTGCCAGCTACAAGAGAAAGCCCATGTCTGCATACAAATTGCTTTCCTTGAAAACAACAGAGGTGATAATTACACCAAAGTTGCCTTGTGATCCCAGCTGGTGAGGTCAGACCAGAAGCCCTTAATGGTAGGCACCTGTATTCCCCAAAGGCACTGGGAGACTACTGGAATAGTGGGATTTTTTACCTGCCTTTTCTTAGCCAATGCATGTCTTTCCTTCCTGTCAGCAAGCTGACTGCCATTAAGACATTTGGATGCAGTGAAGCTTTTCCCCACCCGCCACAGTGGGACACTTGTAGTAATCCATCCTGACTTCAGCTGGACTGTTACTGCAGTACGGCAACGATTCCTCCACCCCCAGCCGTATCAGTTTGCTAATAACGCCAAGCCTCCAGGCCACTAGGGAAAGAGCCAAGGGAAGTTAATGAGATGCACATTTTTCTACAAGGGTGAGCGTGGGAGAATAAATGTCTCTGATAACCCAGAATGCCAAATAACCTACCACAAGCAACCAAAAGGGGAAGTGAGGCTACTTTCCTGCACTGAAAGTAAACTTTTGAAATGGTGTCTTTTTGCTCTTGAGCAACCTAGTCCTTTGATACTGCACTCTGCTCCCAAGGATGCCCTGAAGTCCATTAAGATCTCGGTAACTCGCAGTGTAGTGTATCCTCCATTTGAAGACCAAACATATGTGCACGCACACACACAAAGAGCAGCTGTTTAGGAAACACCAGTACTGAAAAGAAACGAAGTTGCAATTTCTCTCAGAGAAGAGCGTTATTGCTACTCTCCGAGTATATTAAAGGGCATATCTTGCTTTCAGCTGCATAAAAAGGCATGGAAAGAAGAATGTTATTGCCATTTATAATATTAGCTTTCAGTCAGGATGGGGACACTTCAGACATCATCACCATAGTGTCCCAGGGAGGATGCTAGCTCCTTGCCTCCCTGCTCAGTATGTAAAATAGTCAAACTCCCTCATGAAGCTTCCCGCTTTGGGCGAGGCAGTCTGTCCCAATTACCTTGACAAACATCTTGCTGCCAGTAGAGTTGTGGCTGGGACCGACAGGTGTGCAATAGACGGACATGGACTTGCGATCACGGGAAAACTCCAGGGTGTATTCTTTCTTCATCAGCTGCTTGATTACCTGTAAAGAGAGACGTGCAGAGTGCTGTGAGGAACAGTTACCTTATCAAAAGTGGATGAAGAGACTAGCAATAGCCAGACACCTTTTGATTTCACATAACTGACCTGATTAGTCAACATGTTGTATGAACGGGGGGGGGGGGGGAAAAAGG